CCCCCCCCCCCCCCCCCGTTACCAGTCTTTATGCTAAGCTAACCAGCTACATATCTACCGTACAGACGTGAGAGTGGCATCTATCTTTCTCATTTAACTCTTGGCCAGAAAGAAAGTGTGTTTTCCCAAAATGTCAAACTATTCCTTTCAGTTGGACTTTGAGATTATACTTTGATGCTGAGCTCGTCACAACTGTGATCTCCCTCGCAGGAGCTCAACTTGTGCCGTTTGTTTTTCCCCCCATCGCTGAGAATCCCTTTTGAATGGGACTACGATTGGTTCTTTGGACCCGTCATGTGACCAGGCGTCAACCGGTTCCAACTGCATTGAGTTCACTGGAAACGGTCTCATAGCCAACAGAAACCAGGGTTAGGACGTTATTCTCCCCGTCATCCGACTTGCATTGTTCTGCTTGGGTTTCCATCGGAACAGCGGCTCCGGCTTCCTGCCTTATCTTCTTCCTGGCTCGGCCTCGCCCTTTGCCTTTTGAGAGGGCCTTCCCCGGCTCTTTGACCCCTCCAGACACCTTGTGAGGGTTCTCGTTGTCAGCCGAGCGGGTTTTGCGGTGGCGCCTGCGGATGCGCCTGCGGATGCCCCGCATTGGCGGCCCGGAGTCGGCCGGGTCCGACGCCGCTGCCCCAGACAGCACCCGAATCTGCTGCTCAACCACCATAACGATCATGTCCAGCGCAACGTCCAACATTCCCAAACCCAGGCCGTGAGTGACGTTGTCAAACCCGCTGCTGTTGACCGGGTCCTTGAAACATCTTCTCACATCCTCCAGGTGGTTCCTGAGAGAAAACGAGAGTGTTATTACTCGGTTTATCAACGGTTCTTTAGAAAAAACAGGCTTGAAGGCCGTGAAACAACAAGGACGCACAGTACGTACTTAGTTTCAATCATTTTGGACCAGTGTTGAACTGGGTTTGTCTCTGGGATCAGCTGCTTAGCCATGTTGCTGTAGTCGATGTAGTCATGGGCGAAGTCCTTCATGTCGTCACACAAAGCCCTGGTATCGCCTAAACACACACGCACAAGTTAAAACCCAGTTTAGTCTTTGCGCACACTTCTCCATGTTGACAAGTTCAAACATCCTTCCCCACACTAACACACATCTCCGTCACCTTCCGTGAGTTTGGAGAAGGAGGAGGACACAGAGGTAGTTGTGCTTGGTGTGAGGCCGATGACGTTGAGCGACTCCAGAAGGGTTTTCTTGCTGGCCGGGCCTCTGCTGACCCGAGTGTACGCCGCCAAGGAGCGCAGGGACATCTTCTCCGGGGCCTCCAGGCGCCGTTTGATTTCATCGTACGAGATGAGATGTTTCCCTAAAATAAACAAATGTTTTACATAACTTAAACAAACAAAAAAAAGTGAAATGCAAGAACTCAAGATTATTCATTTTCTGTTGAGCTAAATCTTCAAACAGCTGGCCACTTACGAGCCTTAGATCCTTTCATGTTGGGATCCAGGAGCGACGACACCTCTGCAAAGGGCATGTGGGTAACGGACTCTGGATTGGTGCTCGAGTTCGGTAGCGGGTCCTGAATCTGGGACACAACCTCTGTCTGGACTGGGGCAGAAATCTGCATCTGGGTCATCTGAATATGAGGCTGCATGGTGTGCATTTCCATCTGGTTCTGGTCCAGCAGAGCCTGGTCTTGCACTTGAGGGAGGATCAATGTGTTTTCGGACAAACCCTGTAGCCCCATGCCCCCTTGTGCAACGCTACCGGTTTGCTCTGAGGACACCTGGTAGATGCCCATGACTGGTTTTACCACAGTGAAAACCATGTTCCCCTGGGCATCCACACCCACCACCCTAGTAGACGGGTCCATGTCGTCACTGAACTGTCACCTTTCTGTGTGAGGGAGGAGGCTCCACCGGCTGTAATTATCAGATCAGGTTACGTCCGAGGCCCATGTAGGGTTACCGTAAACTGATTCTCCCTGTCAAGGTAAAATCCTACAACATTCAAAGTGTTAGAGCATGTCGCTTTCGCTGTAGAGATAGATGAAGCTTATTATCTCTCAGAGCAACACCACAGCACGTTCCAATCTGAAAAAAAGAAAAATCGTGGTTAGCACCAAAGTTTAAGTTGTTTTTCTACTTTCGGAACTGACCTCCTACACATTTAAATCGTCTGTGGGAGAGCCAAACTCTTCACTTTGGATAGTTAAGGTGGAATCTGTGTTTTACATGTTGTGATTTTACTTTATTGTCACTACACATGCCATGTGGCAGACATGAGCAGGTTCATTACAACTAATCTCTCCAGAGCTGAAGTTTGTTACACATGTCCTACACAACAAAGGAGAGCTCCTCAAAATCGGACATCTGTCCACATTTTTATATTAATTTCAAACAATTAAAAGCAAGCTCTGAGGGGATTTCAGTTAAATGACCTCAGTATTTGATATTTCGTTTTAGATCAGTACATTTTGTAACTGTGGGAAATAAGCAGAATAAAATTGAGTTTTACTTTTAAGTGCATTACGTAAGGCTTCACAACAAAGCACAGAGGTCTGAGTATTCGCACCTGTTAAAGTTAAAACTAACAGAAAGCTGAGCAAGCGAGTTAGGTCAGTTTTAGTGCCAACAATCAGTATCGTCACAGATGTAACGTTAGTTCACAACATTCGTAACCAGAACACAAAGACAAGCTTTTCTCTCTCCACCTGTCATGCATAAACAGAGACATTTTTGACTTGTCACTTTATGACAAAAAAAACCCCGCTGGCTTTTAAAGATAACGTTACAAAGTAACGATGCAAATTGCATCAACAATGCCACAGTTATAACATTCATCATGGCTGCCAGGCACGGCTGCTGCTGGGTTTTGTTTCTGCACAGCAGGCCCGAGATGTTACACATAAAAACACGAGTAAAACTGTATCGAAGAGTGGTGGTTCTGGACGGGACAGACCCGGTTTCACCGCTAACCTTGGGATGCAACTAGTGAAGGCTGGCCCACTCACCGAATTGCCGTCGGGTTTTTCTTCCCTAAAACGACACTGATCCTAGAACGGTCCGCGTAGACGCCAGCGACATTTTTCCTCCTTCTCTGCTGTTGCTTCGGCGGGTTGCAAATCAGCTCTACGTGCACTACCGCCCGAGAGCCGGAATCTCGCCGCTCATTGGTCCATCGACATGTCAATCACGCGGAAGGTGATTCCTCATTGGATAAGAATGCTGACAGTGGAACAGAGGAGGCGTTATTTCCGATTCAGTCTCATCCAGACAGAAAGCATTGTTAAAATGTCAAAGTATATAAATGCAAGAAAATTATTATTTTTTTGAGAGTGATATGCTTACTAGCTTTAGGCTGAGAGATGATTTAAACAAATGGTGCACCAGTGCACAAGGAGCAGTCAGTTTTACTGGGTTATCGGAATTTAAACCCTCTCATATCTGGAACAAAATTGCATCTGTGATGAATTCCCCTGCCAGATAATGACTAAGCATTACTTGAAGCATTGTCATGTCAGTGAGTTTTGAAATATGCCAACTAAATAGTGAATTGGAGCTTTCAATGCGTATCTAAGGAAGGTTTATGGTCACAGAGCAGTTTCTCATCTCTGAAATAATGGTTTTGCTGCCAAAATAAGTGTGTCGTTAAAACAAATCGCCTTTCAACCATACTGTGTGATAGCATACAGACCCAGGAGACAGAATAATACCCCGGCCATTTCCCAAATACACCCAATCATATTTATCTTGATTTGTGTTGTCGGCATAATGCCAACACAATAGTCCAAGTGTGTATTCTAATTAAAGTAAACAGAAGAGCTTATAAAGAAACATGCTGTTTATGATACAATATGATGTGGGGAAAATAAATGCAAACTCCAATATTACAAAATGAGTATGATCCTAAAACGGATGCAGCAATGTGTCATGTTATATTACAGCCAGTGAGTTGTGTGTTTGCACCGGGAAAGAAAGAAGAAACTTTTTCACTTATCTCATTTGAATTTATTTTGGTACAAATGAAAAAAGTACAAAATGAAGCATAGAAAGTAGCAATTATGAAAACAATGTTGATAACAACAACATAAAAGAAAAGGCAACAGTTAAATAATTCATTAAAAATACAGCAAACTAATCTGGAAAAACAACTCGGGGTACTCTGCAGCTACACAAACAGACATGACATTAAACAGTCACGTTTGGGTAAGAAAAGGCATCGACCCGGGCATGTGAGAATACAACATTGAATTTGAATCCAGAAGTGCACAACAATCAAGATGACCCAAGTTTCACTCAAATATTAGTGTGTCATTAAATTGAAACAACCTCACTACAAGAAAAAACGATGCTGAAACAATTTGACAGTAGGCCATTTCTCATTAAACAATTTTTACATTGCCGTTAGTGAGAGGATACTCAGCTGTTTTTCATGCTTTGTCTAATAAAGCGGGTAATTTCCCAGTTCTCATATACATCATTACGATGAGGGTGAGTCCTCATAAACATCCCCATTAGCTTAATGCTTCATAACGAGCACTGAACATTACCAAAGCGTATATACTCGTAACGCACAAACATTAGTACAGTGTAGCACAGTGAGCTTGACACCATCCTGGACTTCAGGATAACACACAATTCAGCACGACAGCAAGCTAAAGTGGAAACACTCGACAGAACAGAACACGCACTGTAGGCTGGTGGGTCTCTGAGTGTCCACAACGAAGCACAGAGGAGACCTGTGTGGAGGTGTCCAGCTACCGTCTGGGTCGTCTCCATCATACTGCGTCATGATCCTGCTTCATGTCCGCCACTGAGGGGTTAACTGTTGGGCTGGGTTACCTATGGTTGCTCTTGGGTTCCCCTCTCCAGGCTCAGCTGGTTTTTGGGTGTTACTGCTGGTGTTGAGGATAAATCCGGGTGATGGCTCAGTGTCTGCGTGTGCGCTGGCCCCCGGTGCCTGTGGTGCTGATGTAGAGGAGTGGCTGGGGCTGACGCAGCTGGGGCCCTCGCTTCAGGTTGTTCATGTGGGCTGCGGAGGACTCTGCATTTGAGCCTGTGGGAAGACCGGGGGAACGTAACAAAACAAAGCTCGGTAAAAAGGTCGCTGCAGAGGAACGTGTCTTAGTCTGCAGGGACAGCGGCTCACCTGTTTGCTGGATGTTGTGGGGTGCCCTGATTTTGGCGAGAGGAGGGACCCCTCTGTACTGAGGGCGGAGCATGGGAGCCTGCGGCTGAACGTTGTTGTAGAGATGGTGGTCTGATATGCTGTCCAGAGGACGGAACCTCTGAGCTGTGGTTGTCTTGGTTTGAGGCAGCTGCAAGCGAGAAGAGGAAGAAAATATTTCTCTTGTACCAACAATCTAACATGGTGAAATGTTGTTACTGTGGGCTTTTGTTAGATGGCTCAATGTAGGGACGAGTGATTGCCTTATTTTTCTCTATGCTGGGCCTCCATAATAATAAAATAAAAAGACTAAAAATAGGAATGTGACAAGCCGATGCGGTATAATAAGCCCGACTGCCATTTGCTTCGTCTTTCTTCCCCTTTGTGGCCAAAAAACACTTCCTGCTTTGTGTGAGCTGCATTAATATGTAATGTAAATGCATCAGTGTCTCCTGAGGATGTACTCAGAAATGTTTCAATACATGCGAAATATGGAAAACACCCACTGCCTGACCAGTGACCTCGAAAGAGCGAGAGCGCCTCTTCTTGCGGCGAGCCTCAAAGTCCGCGTCGCGGGGCGTTTGGTTCTTGGCGGCGACCTGACGGTTACGTGGGCGTGTCCAGGTTACTTGCAGGCCGGGCCCCTCCCCCGTGCTGCTGGACATGTTATCGTCCGAGGTGGCGTGTCTGAGCTCAGGGCTGGGCTGCCTGCCGCGGCGCATTGGCAAACCTCTTGGGGGGGCTTCACTCAAAGAGAGGCTGCTCTTCTGCTTCTTGGGGTCCAGAGGAGAGGGGGGAGGGGGCAACCGCAAGGCATCCACCTCCAGGGCTTTGGAGCGCCGACGGGCTGCTTTCACCACAATGTTCTGCACCCCCTTTAGGATCTGCTGCCGTTCTGCGGAGACAAGAGGACATGTTTGTTTTTTTTACTTTCTTTACCCATTTTACCAGCCAGTCTTTACCAGAAAGACAGAATTACTCACCACGCTTTTATGGCCACAGCTAACCATTCGATAGTGCTGAAAGACTTTTGAAAGAATCTAATTGTCCCTTCTCTAACCTGTACTGCATGCATACTGAACAGCTTACCACTTTGTAAGAGGGGGATATCAGCCCCAGCCTCGCTGCTCTCGGGCGATGAGTCCAGGTGGCTGCTGACGCTGTGGCTGAGATGGCTGTAGCTCAGAGAGCTCTCAGGAGCCAGCGGCTGTAGCTGCAGACATGAGAAGCAGAGTGCTCACATTATGTTCAGACATTCACTGCAGTCCTTTGCTTTCAGTAGAAGGTCAGATTGAGTGCCATCTAAATTAATTCTGTGTCTCTCAAAAATTACATTTTTACTTTGAATAGGGCATTTGAATTCCAGCACTCTTCTTACTTCATCTCGTCTGAGCAACACTCCTGAGACATTTGCGTAGAGAGAAAATTAGACGGAGGTAATGTTATTTAAACTTTTATCTTTTGTGGAGGCATGTGAGTTGAAAATTAAACAGATTTACGAGAGTGAAATATCCGAGTGAGTTTAATTCAAACAGAAACCCACATTGCTTGAAGTGAAAAGTGACACCTGACTAGACTGTATTAATTCACAGCATGAGGCACCTTTCAGGGACGGCTATTGAAGTGGAATAAATCGGGTCAAATACTGCTCATTAAAATTGTCCTCACCTCTCGGTTGCCCTTCCCGTTTATGTGGATGGGAGGCGGGGTCACTACAGCAGAGTTTTTTATCTGCCTGGCATGAGGACTGCTCTTAAAAACTCTGTTATTGTCGCTGAAAGAGAGAGAACTGAGGTATAAACTTGGTCATGGGAATATGGAGGTTTTGTGATGCTTGGTAAATTAAATGGCGTTGTTGTATAGATTATAAATGGGAAACATATGAAGATGTCCTCTTACTGCTCTGGCTCAGGCAGAATGGGGGGCAAAGTGTGCCTACGGATTTTGGCGTGGCCTCGTCTGTTATCGGAGCACATGTTGCGTACACTCTCCTGGTCTGAGTCCATGTCCTGCATGTTGTCACGACCCTGACCGGGCAGGGTGATCTTGGGTAGAGAGCCCTCCTGGAAATGATGATGAAATGTTAGTATCAATATTCATCAAGGCCAATTTAATATTTTCGTATAATCTAGTTTCTACATTTTATTTGTCAGGCAGGGGGCTACCTTGATGGTGTGTCTGGTGGTCACCTTATCCAGGGCCATCGCTCGGTCCAGTTTCCTCTCGTCCAGCTCCCTCATGTACATCTCGTACAGCTCCTGGAGGTGTGGAGGTACCAACAGACTGTGGTCTGGAACACAAGCGCACAGATACAATTCAGAAAACCAGTAATTCACGGTGCCTAAAACAAAAACCAGACTATTCATTATCGGTTCATCTGCAGATTATTTTGATCTATAAATCATTGCAACTTCATCAAGCGTCTTGTTTGGTCCGACCAATCGTTCAAAGTATTTAATTTATTACAACCTGAGAAATTTATTACAACCTGAGAAATTTATTACAACCTGAGAAATTTATTACAACCTGAGAAAATCCTCTCATCTGAGAAACAGGAACCATCAAAAGTTCATTTTTCAACAAGATTATCAAAATAGGTGCAGGTTCTTTAATATTCACTCCAGCTCGGTTTCAGAATGCTCAAAGTCATCCTCAATCAGAAAAGGTTAAGACATCAAAGAAATTTCAGAAGGGCCATCAGAGTTTCTAACTGACAGTATCGGCTAAAATGAGGTCTGCATTAAGTCAAGGAAGGACCAGAATGCCCTGAGTGTGCATTTTCCAGGTCTCCACATATTAAATAAAGGCCTTTCAACAAATTTCGGAGTGAATGCTGCTAGTCTCACCAACAATGAACTGTCTCTGCTGCTGTATGATCTCGTCACACAGGTGTCTGTGCTGCTCGAAGCGCTGCACCACAAAGTTTTTGTGCCGGATGACGTTGTCCTTGAGCAGCGCGTTGGACTGCATCTCCGTGTTCTCGATCTCCAGCTCGTGGACCTTGCAGAGGAGGCACAGGACCTCGCGCTGCTCCTCGGAGCTCACCCGCCGAGGCAGCAGCTCCTCCAAGCGCCGGGCGCGATCCCGAAGCTCCAGAAATCTGCGCTCGAGCAGCGACTTGAGGATCAGAACAACGGTTTAAGATGTGCGCACCGTCTTGTTTTGTATTTATCAGAAAATGCCATGTTCATGTAATATCCAAGCTTCAGACTATTCACTAGAGGCAATTGGTTAGTACTTGAACCATTTCCTCTTAGTTTTAAAAAGTAGATCAAGAATCCTACCTTCTGTTTGTGGATCTTTTTCTGTTCCGCCATGAGTGTAACCAGGTTTTCTCGGGCCATCGCCACCTGCTGGGTCTCTGCGCTGTCCGGAGGAGACTCCGGGGAGTCAGAGTCCTTCTCGCTCTCGTCCTTATTGACACTTTCCTTCCTCCTTTCAGCCCGCCACTTCCTCCTGCGCCTATTCCGCTCCTGCTCCCAGCTGATAGAAGAAGCACAGAGAGTAAGATACACAAATATTTGTACCGTAAATACTGGTTGAGGTACACATACTGCAAGTGAATTTTCAATCTTTTTGTCAACAACCCGTATTATTGAACGTATGTTTGCTATCAGATAGGGTAAGAGAGAGAGAAAGATATAAATCCTGAACACTGACTCTGCAATGGTCAACAAGTGTTTGGAGGTGTCGATCTGGACCTCCATGTTGCTGTTTTCCAGCTCCATCAGGTTCCTCCTGATCTCCATCTGTTGGCGGAAAGCATCCAGGAGCTGCTCCCTCAACTGGTCCATTTCTGCCCGACTCTGGTGGCTGGAGTGGGCCTGGACCTCCGCTGAAAAAGATGAGGAAAGATGATGATAAGGAGAGGGGAGTAAGGATATAGTCATTAACGGGCAGTGTATAATACAAATATTGAGAAACGGCTTCATTTGGCAGATATTGTTCATGTGCTGGAGGAGGCAGTGTGGACGAGGCTTTACCCTGGACATGGCGGATGTCAGCCCGGTCCGAGTTAAGCTGGCGGCTCGCCTGATCTGCGATCTTCTTCTTGAGCCGCTGGATCTCGCTGCGCAGGTCTGAGATGATGTTGGTATACTGAGCAATGTGGTACGACACATTTATCAGGTTCTTCTTCACCTGAAGCACCCAATGATGAGAAAGACAAAGAAAAGGAAATATATATTAAAACAAAGTGTAATAATGCCTAGAGAACATATTTTACAGTGAAGCATAATTTCAAGAAATGTAGTAAAATCTTTAAATAGACAGACGAGATGAAACAGGAGCTCTCACCCGTGTTCGAATGCTTTTGGCACGGTCAGCGTACGCCAGTGTGTTACGAGACTCCTCAAAGCCCACAGAGGCGGGGCTAATATGGGCTATCATGACCGTCCGGCTGTTCCCGCCCAACGAGTCCTGTCAATCAAAGTCAAATGATAAATTGATAATGTCTGAATCACAAAATACACTTATATTTTTCCTGGAGTTGGTTCCCCTATAAATCATTAAATTGCTGTACCTTTAGTAGTCGAGTCAACTTGCTGTCTCGATAGTTGACATATTTGCCATTTTTGTCACTCAGGGCGTTGATGCAGTTGCCCAGAGCCAGGAGGGAGCGGTTGATGTGGGCCCCCTCTTTCAACCTCTGACCCCTATTCTGAGTCTAATAAATAGATTGACAGGTGTGAGTGACGAAACCTCTGAGCTTTTCTAAGTACTTTTCGGTTATTTCATGCCTTTTTTTACAGAGTAGACAGAGACAGCTGTTAGTAAATGAGGGGAGATAGAGATGGGGGGGGGGAAACATCGGCGCCTCAAATGTCCAGAAAACTTCGTCATCAACTTGTTACTATAAGCAATGTGAGCCACATGAAAAACTATTTTCTTCTGTTGTTACTATTTCAGTTATTTCACACGAGAGATTTCTGTATTTCTTCTTTTTCTCCGTCCAATCAGGATCGCACAGTCCTGATGAAACAGATTAGCTGAGTTTAAACACCTTAATAAATAATACCCAATTATATATATTGTTTTTACTTTTTGCCTGTTAAGTCATGATTATTTAATGTTGCAGAGCAATACTTAATAACAACATTTGAGGGACTTTAAACCCCTTTGCAACTAGGGGAGCCTAACCTCTGAAGACTCTTGGCTGTTTCTTTCACAGCCATGTTTCCATGTTTCCATTCTTGCCCAGGAGATGGCATCACCTCCTCAACTTTTACTAACCACATGCACTCCTCTTCTTAAAAACAGAGGACATGTTTCCTGTTGCTTCAAGCAACAAACAACTCTCTGTCATGCTCAGTTCCTAATGGAGGCCATATGTGCTATCCATCAACAGTATGGCTGTGAACCTTTAAAACTGTCTCCATGGTTAAGTAATAGCTCTCGCTCACAGACTGTTTGCGTGTTGTTCTCATGGTTTGTAGGTAGGTGGCAGTAATGACATGGCCGACATGACGAGCCATTCATCTGACAAAAGCAGACTCAACTTGAAAAACTGCAGACAACATAAATACTGTTTAACATCCTCACTTGACTGCTTAAGAAGAGAAGGTCAAAGCAATAACAAAACCCAGGAAATGAATCAGTCTTCTCTTCCTGTCTGACAACAACGCCGAGCTCTTCTCCACACAAGCATCGACCGCAGCAGTGCGACGCCAGAGACAATATTCTCCACAGAGCAGCTAAACAGCATGAAACGTGCTGTGCTTTAAAATGCTTTGTTTGGCAATCACGAAAGTCATCTTCATCTTTAATACTCTTCAATACTTCTTCTTTTGTGTCATATGTTTCTTTGTAAAGAGTATATTTTATTTATTTCAGTTGCACTGTTAGCTTCGTTAGCTGCTTGAGAGACATTGTTGCACTATAACACGATCCCATTTGCCAAAACGTCGGTGTATTACTTTAATATACTGCATAGCGGGCCATATCGGCAGATACAAAGAGGCTTTTATTAAAGCCTCCTGAAGGTTTATGGGAACCTCAATCCTGTGGACTGTTTTAAGGATCCGCTGCCAAGGATCCCCAGTGAGCGCACACTCACAAAGCAGACCCTTGTAGTTTTGAGGCTATAAATGTGTAATGTGTCTATACAGGCTTAAAAGAAGCAGTGTATGTAACAGACACATGAACTTGAGTTTGGCAGAAAACTAGTTGACAAAAGTAAATGCACCCACCTAGATACAAAAACACCAAGTAAATTGTCCAGCTGCAAAACCACCAGTTTACTTCTAGCCATTTAGACGCTTCTTGACAGAGCACATGTACACTTCACCTGTGCTGCTCGTTCGGAGCCGGCGAGGTCGATCATGAAGAGGCGAGCAAAGCGGACCTCCTGCAGGAGGTCTCGAGACCGGCTCTGCTGCTTCACGGCTACCTGCAGAACAGCGTGGGAGCGAGAGGACGTCTGGTTGGCGGCTGTCGGCTCCTGGGTGCGCTGCTTGTTGCCCCTCATCAGCAATTCCATGATCTGAAAACACAAGTGCAGAGTCCTTTGTCAGGTGTGCATTTACGCTGAATGTCATCTGAATATTTTTGGATTCGAATAAATGAGTAGTCGCGTCATTCACAGTTAGATCAGCTTGTCTAACCTCTTGTGCATTGATGGTAGACACCTCTGTGATTCCAGCAACCTGAATCACGCCTTTAGAATCTTCTCGCAGGTCCAAGAAGCCCGAGGATGGGTTCAGCAGGTCACGGATCATCTCATTGTAGATCTGAAAAGACACAAAAACACCATACAAGTCAGAGGACTGGTAGAGTTTATATATCTGCTCAAGGTCTTTAATATTCGTTTGAGAAATGAATCAACAGGAGGTTGTTCGTGTCCTCTGAAAAAGCTCCATTCAGCCTTTCAGGCCTCCTAGACAGAACTAGCCTGGTACAAAAACATCAAGTGCTATATTTTCAGCAACTTGTCATTTAGAGACCGCAGCTTGTTGGGTGGCAGGCTGTCATTAGCCGGTGTCAGTGCTCTTCTTTCACGGAAAAATATAATTCATGTGCCTTCACTGGCCCGACACCGATGGTGCAATGAAAGCCCCTAAACATACGTAAAAGCGCAGAGCAAGAAGTGACATCCTGGAAAGTGACCACTGGACAACAAACCGCTCAGGAGGCCGGTGCAATGAGGTTTTTATTTGTCAAGCAGACCCCAGCCACACACTTTGAGAGGAGTAGTATTATTTTTTCCATCTGTACTTTTCATTGCTGGTGAAGTTTGAACAAGACTAAGAGTCAACAGCCACGTAAGCGGCTCTGTAACGCTGTGCTTAGGCACTATGGTGCTTTGAGGAAATGTCAGCATGCTAACATGCTCAAAAAGACAATATTAATATGTTTAGCGGGTATAATGTTCACCATCTTAGTAGCATGTTAACATTTATAATTAGCACTCAACACAAAGTACAGCTGAGGATGATGGGAAAGTCAATCATTTGGTTGTAAACTGAGCACATAGAGTGCTGCATGAATTAGTCTTAAAACTTGGAAACTAGTTAGCATTTTTTTAAACTTCCGGTTCTCGAATTCAATGGTTTTTCGGTTAGACGCTGTGGTTAGCACAAGCGTAACCGATTTTATTCTACTCCATAAAATACACCAGTATATATCCCACTTGTACGAGTCTTAAAAAAGGCTAACAAGTGGCTAAATGAGGTCGAAAAAACGTCATCACGCCGAACACCAGTCCGCCTTTAGCTTGTTGGCAAGAAAGTCATGCAACCACTGTGTAGTTTGTATGTCGCCTAACGTTAGCTTTTTACATCTGCCATTCACGGTTCACAAACCATAAAAGTTTGTGAAGATTATCCTGCTGAACAAAACGTGTGATTATCATGAACAAATGTTTCCCACAAAGCTTGTTTTCTGCAATAATCCAAAAGGAAAAATCTCTTTTGCCATCCAAGACGCTAGTGTACAGCATTTCTAAAAAGGTTTCTCATTTCTTCATTGAGGTTCCTAAATGTGAGAAGAGTTCGAAAGACAGGATGAAGATAAAAGAAAAGGGGGAGGGAGCACTGTGTGCCTGTGAGTGGTAAACAATAACTGAATGTGCCTTTTTTTTTATCCGTACAGAGTATATCTATTTGCATTCACTGTATGTGTTTCTGTATGTGTGTTTGTGCTTCACAGATTGCACGCATGAAAGAGAGAGGGATTTGAAGAAGAAACGGAGCAGATGTGTGCCCATCGCTCAGCCAGGCCGTAAAATGGCGTTTAACGTCTTTGTGGCGAGGCAGCAGTGGCAACAGATTGCTCCCTGGAGACGGCAAACACACACATCACACACAGCTTTGTGTCGGGATTCATCCTGTATACTAGTTATACTGGTCAGAGAACATCCAGACACCATGATTGGCATTTTGACAGGAAAATTTACCTCCACCCACCCAGAGAGCTACTAAAGAGCCGTACTTCAAAAACAGTGTCAATCACCGGACATAATATCAGCTTTTGGCACCAAAAAACACAAAATGTAATTTAAATGTCGGTTGCAAACCCTCCTCCTAATAGGCAAAATTTGTACATGCGAGGTAAGAAGTGCAATCAGAACTTTATTCATAACTAGGAATATCACATAAACAAAGAAAACTTTGTATTACTACGCTAACTTCAAATTGACAAAAGTCAAGAAAAGCGAAAAATTACTTTAAATGGAAACAAAGTCACACCAGTGAGGCTCAGTTACTGCTATCAGAGTCAAATGAACCAACCCCATTGTATCCAGTGCTATTAGGGGCTTTGTCATGAAACACACGGTCTGAGCTCTACCTGCGTCTCAGTAATGAGGTTTGGAACCACAGCCAGCAGGCAGACAGAGAAAGCGCCATCATCAGCCTGCCGTCTTATCTGCATCACGAGTGACAAAGGCAAAGATTATCACCAAGCCAACAGGACCAGAGATCACTCCGCACCTGAAAGTACTGCAGGCTTCTGTGCAACGAAAGCACCTCTACACCTACAGCACGGTTACTTACTGTGTTGTTGCGTCTTCAATAAGCATCAATTCATGCTCGAAAACCAACTCCATCTAAAGGCCCTGACACACCAAGCTGACCCGAGTGATTCAAAGCTTTGCATCCGTTTTGTTTTTTTAAAAAAGGATGCACTTATTTACTTGTAAACGCTACAGCCGATCAACAGCACGGACATACATTCTGTGTCGGCATGAGAGAAAACAATCAGGCAGTAGAGTTCAAAGAATATAACAGAGACAAAATGCGCTTGTATTATGTTTGCTCGGAATACCAATTTAGAAAGTGTTTGATTGTTTCGCATGGTGTTTCTTTTGCTGTGATCTTTTTTTTTGTTGAAGAAAGAAAACCTTAATTGTTTTTTCGAAAAGGCAGCGAGAGGCAAGGCAAGTGTGTTTCTTCAGCGCATTTCAAAAATTCAAAGTGAGACATAGAGGCATCAAAACCAGATATAAAAGACAAGGCATTTAAAAACACAAACTTCTGGGCCCAAAGTCTGGGCTTCTTTACAGGGCTGTGTACAAGGACGCATGTTCTGCTCCTTTCAAATGTGAAACAAAGGCCAGGCAAAAATAAAAGGACACTAGTAGTATCTTCCTGCAATTAGCATTAGCTAACAACCGCAGATCCTATCAGTGTGAACAGATGACGGTGATAGAAGAACAGACACGCATGAAATGTGAAGAAATCACAAGAAATCTTTAAACTCCGAGTGAGCACTCGTGTTAATAGCTACAACATTTCAAGCTCCACTTCAGGTCAATCCGGAGATGTGTCGTCACTGTTGCTTTAACTAGATTCTGCGATCTGCTCGTGATGATAGTAAAATGTCTGGAGACAAGCTGTGGAAAGTGAAATTCTGACCTCCAGATATGACATGGAGACGCTGTACATCATGTCGTCACTGGTCTCCTCGATGGCACGGAACAGGTCGTTCAGCGTTCGAACGTAGATGCCTGGCTCCTTGTCCGTCCCCAGCATGGTGTATGTCTTCCCACAACCTGAAAACATGTTTCCCACAACAACTTGATGAGGAGATAATGTGTCAATCCTGCGGCCCGAAGGACCAAGAAAGTGAATTATAATATATAAGATAGCATTGGTAACCAAAGTAAATACTGTATTTTAAACCAAACCACCTGAAGAAAGCTACATGTTAAAGCTAAAAGCTAAGTGTTTACTGTGTCCGTATGACTGAATGTTCACGGTGTGCTGTCTTAATCTTTCCTTGGCTGACCTGACCACACTGTTAAACACGATGCAACCAAACACATAAACACACACACATTCACTAGAACCTGTGTTTACTTCCCCACAAGAGGACACTAGGAGCGGAGAACCTCTGAGACCAATGGACAGTCAGAAGGCAGAGGAAGTCAGTGAGACGGATAAATGACTTGATAGAGCAATAGTGCTCAACTAGTCTTTGACAATCTGCCCCCACCCGCTGGAAACATGGCAGGTAAAGCACGACTCATCTTCTGATTCAACCTGAACTGAAATAAAAATAAAAAGCTAGAAGTGAATAAGATGTCTCACTCTTTTCCTGAGAGTGTGCTGGCTAGCTGACCAGAGATTATGCACCAGAAAGCTAACACATGTGGTGGTTGATCTACCTCAGAGAGAGTGCTCGGTTAACTTTGTGGGTTCTGTGCAACACACACACACACACACACACACACACACACACACACAAACAAACCTGTGGGTCCGTAGGCAAACACGGTGGCATTGTAGCCTGATATGAGGCCCTCAATCAGCCCTTTGGTTGTGGCTCGGTACACCTCCTCCTGCACAGAAAGAAGAAAATAACCGTAAAGCCATTAAGTGCATATTTGAGGGACACAAGTGCTGTGGCATATTTGTTTAGATTTTATATATTTTAGTTTTCTTTTTAGTTTTACTTATGGCTGACCTGATTGGCCGAGTAGTCGAACGCCACATCAAACATGTACGTTTTCTCCCTGGAGCGGTTGGCACGCAGGATGTCGTCGGGGTCCTCCATGGGGTCCATCAGAACCACCATCTGATGATGACGAGGAAGGCGGAGATGGGAAAGAGAGGCGGAAAAAGAGGCACAGAGTTTGAGCGGGTGTTACGTCTTTAAGCCCATATTGACATCTGAGATGCCAATTAACTTCATGATATGTCTCTTGTGAATCACAGCTGAGCTAATGAGCAATTCAATTCAGTGAGGTTCAGTGTGAAAAAAGTACATGGACAAAAGGGTTACTGGAATATAAAAATACAGTCACAATTAACTTCGGCTGGGATTGGGCGGCTCATCCATTTGAATAGGATGGTCTCACTGGGAGCTGCTGTTATCATTTACATTTGTTTTTTACCACACAGCTGGAGCGTCAGCTGGCAGGATGAGCGAACACAAAAAGCAGATGTCTATTCCTGCTGAAACACTGCCCTCAGTATTTCTTTTTGTAACATTTCGTTACCACGGATTGAAAGAACGATCGTCAAAAAAAAAAATGGAAACGTCAAGGAAGGATGTCTGCTCTAGTGTATGACAGACTGTCCTGGTGACAAAAACAGCCCCCGTTTCGATCAGGGACACTTCATAGCAAGTATGTATGCAAATGGGAATCCACTAAAGCCATCGGCCTTACTCTAAATCCTGGCTATAGAACATAATGACCCAACCATCAGCCCATTAACTCTTGAGAAGACAGGTCAGGGCAGCTTGCGATTGATGAAAATGTGTTTTTTTGTGTGTGCATATGACAGCCTGAGCAGTACTTGTATGTGAATACACAGAGACTGACGTGTCTCATTGTTCCGATTGTGCTGCTAGACAAAGCTTGTGCCTCACCCACAATCATCAGTAAATCCCAGCTCTCCAAAAGAACATTTCAGGGACAAATTCTGAACAGCACGGCGTCAGAAGAAAATACCATAATGCTGGCGACAAACCAGAGTCACACTGGGTACAGTTGGCTTGACGGGTTGCCCACAGCGACAGGGAAATTACCCCCCCTTACAGAGTTGTGGGTTTGAATCTCCCGCTATGTAATTGGCAGAAAAGTCAATAACAGCAGGTAGAGAACCCTTGAGTTTATTTCAGATGCGACAACGGGGCAGCTGGGAGTTTGGCAGTTTCTTTTTTAAGCTGCCCAGCTTTGTTCAGCAGTGGGCCTGGAGAGCCCTCTGAGGACTGTAACGCTGAATCACCCGGCTTGTTTGATGACCCCCTCAACCGCTGAGCCGCTCACTTTGAAGCCCCTCGATTGAAATTCAAGGGGAGAGATATATACGGAGGGAGAGGAAAGATGGAAGAGATGAAGCAACACTTGGTTGTCTTTTCCAGTGCAGTCGTTGACTGCGCTCAAAATATGCCTTTTCACGTACCAATTGTGCTCAAGACACAAGGAGAGCACACGCGGAGTAGTGAGCAGCATGCTCGTTTCCTTTCCCATCCTCTTAACTTCCTGCTTCTCTAACTTTTCTTTCCAGCTGCAATGACGTACGTGTTCTGATCGCATTTCACACGAAAGATATTGTGAACGAGGGAGTACTTCTCTCAGTATCGGAGGCAATTTTAAGCCACTTAAACCAATCTGACAACCTTCAGAGTTAATGTGAGTGTAGTCAGTATAATACGTTCGTTGAAAAAAAATGGCAGAGTGATGAGTTTCTTGAGTTGCAAGAGGACGTGACATGCAGTTCAATGATGTTCACACGAAGGTGGATTCACTTAAAAACGTGTCCGCATTAGGGGAACAGTTGGCAGCAGCCTGTCAATCACTGTCGTCCCTGACGGTGCACCGTGTGAAGCTTTTGTCATTACGAGACACTGAGTTTGGTCCGTCTTTCAGCCTTATTAGCCATTGTCTTCTCAACATGGGACTTCACAGCAGTTTGTAAGAGTGGCAACCAGACAGAGTTGAGTGGCAGCATGTGCTGCAGGAGCCCACTGTCAGATGTGTAATGGTATTCGGGGATACAAAATGAAAATACACTAGAAGGAGAGACCTTGGGCTGTTCTACACAATATTATAGGCTATTAAAGTTTGTGTAACATTAGTTGTAATTACCACAGCAGACTGATATACATACTTTTATATACATCTTAAATACATTTTGACTCAATGCACAATAAATACAACATAAAGTGTCTTAAAATCAGCAGGAGCATTGGGCATCATCTCCTAAATCGTTAATAGTCGATATGAAAGTAAATTGTCAAAAGCCCAGCGGGCAAAGAACCAAAGTGAGAAATACAACCATCATCTGGTAAGCCGTAGCTGGTCTGCAGTTAGAACTCTGTTCCCTCCCTCCCACTCCACCTCATGTATTATATTATGCTTCAATAAAGCAGGAAACACAATTTTGCAGTTTCCATCTTATTTCTGTGATACTGAGTATAAAGTAGTAATCTCTTTACCAAGGAAAACTGTAACTCCTGAGCTGCTGCACCAAGACTGTCCTCCAGTCAGTACTTTATGTCTGACAACATGAACAGAAACACGTCTGCAGAGCAGAGCTTCCACACGACATCAAAATGTTTCTGTAACAACATGCATCATCGTTTTGCAAAAGCTTCAACGTCCTCATTCACACTAAAATGTGACGATGGTGTTTTCAAATCTGGGCCATTGTGAAGAGCAGTGTTTGCGATGTAAAAAATAACAGTTAATCGTGGATGCAAGGAGAGAAAAAGATGCATTTTCAAACTTAATGTGAACAGCGCCTGTGAGTGTGTGTGTGCAACAATGCTCATGTATGGTAGGTATCAAATAGTGTGCTCATCCATGCACAGTTTTGTCCATGCGCATGCACTTGGGGGAAATCATTATAGGTCCAGGGTGTTGATAACACCTCTGGTCCCATCTGCCGTCTGTGTTTCTTAAGTTACAGAACCTTCCACACACAGCAGCTGCTGCTGCTTTGGGCACATTCTATACCACTAATATGTCTTCTGATAAGACTCTAAGATGCTGACCCTAATGACAGTACACTGTGTGGCAACATAATACTGGAAGTCTTGGCATGTGCCTCAGGGTTTTGATGCCGATAATGGACTACAGGTAACCTCCCCGTCATTAGACTTTGCCAACATAGGTACCTTTCTCAGTCCTATAAGTTCAATGAAGAGGCTGCTGTTAGACAACAAGGGGTGAAGTATGGGTCACACTTCTAGAGTACAGAACAGGTTGAAGACGCATGTGGAAACACGGCGGTCTCATGGAAACCATTCAGTCTTCCACACATCCTCTCTCTCTCTCTCATACACAGTTGCGTGGAAACGTTTACTCACACATGCATGGCAACTAAGCAGGCAGCATTTAATGTCCTCTGCAACAAGCAAGTTTGTGCAAGCTGGGTGGCAAAAGGCATGACTGACCACAAGAGCTGAGGCCGGCACACTCCGACGCAGTCGGTGCGCTCGGCTCGAGTGTGTGCACGAGAGGAGGCGTCGTCGGCTATATATGTTCCACTAAAAACATTCAGGCAGTGGCGACTTTATTTAGCTGTGCACTGACAAAAAGACAAAAGATGTCAACAGCTTTAAGAAGATTTCAACACCTTTCAATTGTTTGAGCTGCAACAATCAGACGATTAATTGATCTACAGAAGGGTTTTCAGCAACTATAGCAGGCACTATAATTGATTTCTTGAATTTGAGCAGTTTTTTAAGCAAAAATTGGCAAAATGAACTGGTTCCAGCTTCTCAATTGTGAATATTTTCTGGTTTTCATACTCTTTTATGTTGGTAAATTGAGAATTGTTTTGAACTGTTTTTGATCAGACAAAACAGGATATTTGAGAATTTTACAGACTAAACTAATAATTGAGAAATCGATTGGTAGATTAATGGATTATTAAAAAAATAAGTCATTTCTATAGCCCTAGTTGCATGGGACAAGCATGTGATTTAGAAATCCTGCTCCCCTCTCTTGCCAACGCAGCGTTCATAATTCTCCATCAGGAAAAAGGCAGAACATGGTGCGGAGAAAACAAAAAAAACTTACGACCCCAAATCACACAGATGCCAATTTGCAAGGGACTAAAATGATCACATGACCTCTGTGTTTGGTGAAAACATGGTCGGTCATTTGTGGTGGAATTTTTCCCTTGATAAATTACGGACATACTTAAGATCACAGACGACCTCCGCACGCATCACAAATTACTAGAGGTCTGCAGGCGATGCTGGTCAGCTGTGAACACGTGTTTTGCACGCGATTTTTATCTGAACTTGGACTGACCGACAACATCACATAGCCACAGATCAAAGCAGGACCTGATCAGCTGGTCCAACTGTCAGTTATTCATCAGGCAGTTGGAACGGGCAGACTCGGTGCTATAGTGAAGCCGACCGATTCACCCCTCTTATTTGCTGTACCTGAATCAACTGGGACTCAGTGGACAGCTGCACAGCAACCACTCTATAAACACCACTGGCACAACACAGCAAACACACAGCACCTGATAAGATTAATAGAAATGTTCTGGTGTTGCTGTTAATTAACAAAATAGTGGGCAAGCTGTAACTATGGCAATGATAATTAATTACTGGGACATTTGGCTGAGACTCTAATACAAGACTCGGGCACCAGAGCACATTTATCAGCTCTCCATGTCTTTTTGCCAACGTTTCTGCTTCTCTAACCTCTTATTCGTCGTCTAAACTTCGTCTAGGCCAGACTGTGATTAATAATCATTTGACAGTGGAAACTACTACATTATAAAATAGAAACAAAAATAGAAGTGTGAGTCCTCAGTGTGATTTGGTACATGATGGTAGTTAATTCTATCTGACCTTTAGCCATTATCTGCACTCCTATCAGGAAAAAGCAGTGACTTGTGAACAATGATCTTTACTAGACAAAGAAATCTCTCAATTACGGTCCAGTTCAGGGACGTCTTGGTCAGATTTTCCGCTGGGATCTAAATTGGGTCTAGTTAGTCGCTCTTTCTACAGGGACCAATCAGCCCTTTTCCATTGACTGCTGACTAATTCCTGGCCGGCGCTAAAGGAGACTTCAGTTTTAAAACAAGCGGACCAGAGGG